ACAGGCATAATTTCAAGATTTTTTTATAGTATAGTGGAATTTTGTAGGATTTTATATTAAAAAAAAAAAACTGGATACCCAGATTCTTTATTGAACAAACCCTCCCAGTGCTTTTGGCTTTGTTTCACTGTTGGCTTTTTCTTGATTTTTGCTAGGTTTTTCATATGTTAAATTTTAAGTAGGGATATTGTTGCAATTCTTTAAGGAGTTTTTATCTTCGGTCTGCTCACTCCTAAAATGATGTTTTTTAAATGAACCAAAAGGATATATTTTATATACCGTGTTTTAAATAAATAGTCAGTGAAAATGTGTGTAATAGTATCTATTTTAAAGTACTATGCTATGATGGGTAATCTATTTACTTTAAAATTTGTAATTCTTTCCTTTCCCTTAAATATATCATTAACTTGCGATGATCTTAACTACATTTTAACTCTGTTCTGGAGTGATTATGTTTTCTTTATGATGGGCTCTTTTATCTTTTTTTTTTTTTGCCCTTTTTCTTGTCCCTACTTATTGTTTCTTTTCTATTCTTTGTCTTAATGTCCCTTTATCATATACTTTCATTGCTTACTTGCTTTTTATCTAACTCTGTAAATCTTTTCCTATAATCCTAAATGATTTGTGTCATGTATCAAACTAAGTTTTTACTATATTTTTCACCAACTGTTAATCAGTTTTTGTGATTTTAAGGCACCCTTAAATGTGACTTTAATTTCAAATAAACTTCCCATTTGCTATTGACATAACTATAATGTTTGTATACATCTTACTTTCCCATGACTTCCAATTAACCACGAACGACTACAGTTTTTAAACTTGATTTAGGTATGATGCTATAGAAATATACTTTGTTAATATGCTTGAAATTAAATTGTAACATATTCCTTATTTGTGGAAAGCCTGTGCACATGCCTCTGTCAAGCATATATGGCACTTTATCATATTTGCCTGAGTATTTTTTCTCCTGCTATTAGATTGTAAGCCCCTTAAAAGCAGGAACCACATTTAAATCTCTAGTGTCTGGCACAGTGCAGGTTTTTAATGAATGGATAGTAAATAAATAAATGGATGGATGAGGACAAAGTTGTATAATTTCCATGGTCTTGTCCAAAAAATACTTCCTCTGCCAGCTCCAAATGATACCCAATGCAATTTCTTTCACAAAAGCCAAGTATTTCACTTTCCCAACTGGACTTGTTTTACAACAAAAATACCGTTAGAAAAACACATTTATTTAAACCTATTCATCCAAGGCAGAAGTTCTTAATCTTGGCTGAAATTGGCTGAAAGTGAGAATCATGTCCCCATCCCAGTAAAAATAAATTAGAAACACCAGTCCCCCCACCCCCGGTGAGTCTAATGTGCAGGAAAGCTGAGAACTACTAAGCTAACTAAGAGAGAAGCAACTGATGGCGTGTTCTAAGGAGCATGAAAATAAAGCGAGGTCTCTAATGACTGTGGCAGAGAAGTTCTTTGCTGAGGGAAGGGAGGTGGGGAGTTTGAAGAGTCCAGTTTGCCCTTCAGGAGGCTGGGGGTGGCAGGAGACAGAAGTGTTTGGTTTTGTTGTTGTTGTTTTTAGAGTCGGAATCTCGCTCTGTCACCAGGCTGGAGTGCAGTGGCATGATCTCGGCTCTCTGCAACCTCCACCTCCCGGGTTCAAGCGATTCTCCTGCCTCAGCTTCCCGAGTAGCTGGGACTACAGGTGCATGCCATCATGCCCAGCTAATTTTTGTATTTTTAGTAGAGACTGGGATTCACCATGTTGGCCAGGATGGTCTCAATCTCTTGACCTTGTGATCCTCCTGCCTCAGCCTCCCAAAGTGCTGGGATTATAGGCATGAGCCACCATGCCTAGCCATAAGTGTTTCTTAAGGTATCTATTATTATTTTTTTAATTAAGAAGAAAAATTATAAGTACTGTCAAAAGAGGTAAACTTTGAAGAGGGAGAAGATTTAATTTTAAATTTTAAAATGAGGTCAGAGATTCCAACAAATGCTAATAAAATGGATCTTTGAATTTTTGGGGCTTTTACAAAAAATACCATTCAGGCAGGCAAACACAGCAAGTGTATTAGCTATACAGACTAATACAGTAGGGGAAAGCCTAAAGAAGAATCAAAGTTGACATGACAGAACTTGAGAGAAGAAAAAATTATTAGTATTAGAATATTAATTCTTTAAAACCTTGACACGGTGGCTCATGCCTGTAATTCTAACACTTTGGAAAGCCAGGGTAGGAGAATCTCTTGAGGCCAGGAGTTCAAGACTAGCCTGGGAAACATAGCAAGACCCCCATTTCTACAAGAAAAAAACACAAAACAATTAGCCAGGTGTGGTGGCATGCGCCTCTAGTCCTAGCTACTCAGGATGCTGCAGCAGGAGGATCGCTTGAACCTGGAAGTTCAAGGCTGCAGTGAGCTATGATTTCACCACTGCACTCCAGCCTGGGTGACAGAGTAAGATCCTGTCTCAAACAACAAAAAAGTATTTTTAAAATTTGTGTCTATACAATAATAATTTCAACAACATGAGAACTATATGTGACTGTGGATGAGGACTAGAAAAGAAGAGAGATATTAAGTGACTGGCATGTTTAGGTGTATTAAACTTGAAGCTTGAAGTTCTAGTTCCTACTTTGCTATTAAGATGCTGTATATGTGGTGAGGTTTGGGCTTCTGGTTAAAAGTGAAAATATAGGCTGGGCGCAGTGGCTCACACCTGTAATCCCAACACTTTGGGAGACCGAGGTGGGTGGATCACCTGAGGTCTGGAGTTTGGGACTAACCTGGACAACATGGTGAAACCCCATCTGTACTAAATATACAAAAATTAGCCAGGTGTGGTAGCACGTGCCTGTAGTCCCAGCTACTTGGGAGGCTGAGGCAGGAGAATCACTTGAATCCGGGAAGCAGAGGTTGCAGTGAACTGAGATCACGCCACTGCACTCCAGCCTGGCAATAAAGCAACACTCCGTCTCAAAAAAAAAAGAGTAAAAATAGAAAAACAAGAAGAAAGAAAAGATGCTGTGTGTCCTCATGGGCATCTCTTCATTTCTCTGGGGCCCAAATTTCTTCTCTGCAAAGTTAGGGAGTTGAAAGCTTCAACTAAACTAGTGCTTCTTGCAAGGATCGTCTTAAGAGAGCAAAGAAGTGTAGCCCATGGCTCAGAGCCAGGGCAACCTGAAGCACTCACTGCAAGTCAAAATTTTTTTGAAGTCTCATGTTTTGCCTCATGTGAATTATTTCTCAAAATGCTGTTTTTTGTTTTGTTTTGTTTTTTAATGGGGTCTCACTCTGTTGCCCAGGTTGGAGTGCAGTGGTGTAATCTTAGCTTACTGCAACCTCTGCTTCCTAGGCTCAAGCAATCCTCCCACCTCAGCCTCCCAAGCAGCTGGAATTACAGGTGTGTACCACCATGCCCACCTAATTTTTGTATTTTTGGTAGAGACAGGGTCTCACTATGTTGCCCGAGCTGATCTCAAACTGAGCTCAAGCGATCCTCTCACCTCCCAAAGTGTTGAGATTACAGGTGTGAGCCACCGATCCTGGACAAAATGCTGTTTTTTAAAAAAAAGTTCATGAGCTTTTTATTATTTGCTGTTCTTTTTTTTTTTCTTTTAAATACACAATTGAGCCCATATTGTATATATAATTTTATATTCAGCTTTTTTCATTATCATATTTATCATATTTTATATGTCATTAAAATAGCGTTACCTTTCTTTTTATTTTTTCTTTTGAGATGAGGTCTTGCTATGTTTCCCAGGCTGGCCTCTAACTCCTAGACTCAGCTTCTTGAGTGGCTGGGATTACAGGCACCGCCACCATGCCCTGCTCGTTATTTTTCTTTTAAGAACTATATAATATTCAGTCATATGGCTGTACTGTAATGCATTAACCTTCTCCTGATTGGGATGTTCATGGTAGAGCTCAGTGTGTTTTCATCTCCACTATACTCCTTTCCCACCACTTGGCTCCATGTAAAGGCTGAGCTTTCTTCATACTTTCTGGTTTTTTTTTTTTTTTTTTTTTTTGAGGTGGAATTTCACTTTTGTTGCCCAGGCTAGAGTGCAATGATATGATCTCAGCTCACTGCAACCTCTACCTCCCAGGTTGAAGTGATTCTCTTGCCTCAGCCTCCCAAGTAGCTGGGATTACAGAGATGTACCAACACCCCCGGCTAATTTTTGTATTTTTAGTAGAGATGGGGTTTCACCATGTTGGTCATGTTGGTCTCAAACTCCTGACCTCAGGTGATCTGCCTGCCTTGGTCTCCGAGAGTGCCGGGATTATAGGTATGAGCCACTGGTCTCCGAGAGTGCTGGGATTATAGGTATGAGCCACTGTGCCTCGCCTTTCTTTATACTTTCTAATTGAATCCTCTGAAGTGCAGGAGATCATAAGATGAACATTTTTCTCTCATTGCTGCAGTGAGTGAAATGGCCTCTTGGGGATATAATTGTAATTTGTCATTTTTAGAGGTCTCACCCTAAAGAGGGGGAAGGAAGAGAACATAACTGAAGGCTGACTCCACACAAGACCTCTGTAAAGGTTGTCGCATGTCACCACCCAGCAAGGGAACAGCTATCCTACTTCATGGAATAATAAGTGGAGACTCAAAGGAATGAGTAACTGGCTACAAATTGTTTGATCCACCCCAGAGCTGTGCCAGGTGGTCCTGGGAAGCACTCTGTGGTTCCATAGCAGCAGTAGAGCCAACACAGGGTCCCCGACACCCTCAGCCAACCCAGCCTTCCCTCAGCTCCGATCTCAATTTCTTTTCTTGGCTGCACAGTGACCTTTCCTGTGATTAACATCTTATTTTTTGATGAGGATCCTTTGCATACAGCAAATAGTTTGTTTTCCAGAGGATCTATAAATGAAGGATTATTTAATGTTTAGAGCAGGAAGCAGAAAACTTTCTCTTTTTCTTTTGGTATATAAACTGTATTAGCAGACAAGGCCACAGACTTAGTGCTTCTTGGGCACTGCTACTGAATGGCCACAGTGGCCAGTGGTTTTGATGTGCTGGCTTCAGACACGAAGGCCCCAGAAGTAGCACAGCCCTCTATGGGCTGGAATCCTCTTCAGTTGCTCAAGGTCTTCATGGAGCTTGTTACCCAGACCATTGACCAGGACCTGACTATAGTTTCCAGCCTTTCCATCCTTCTGTCTGTTCAAGAACTGGTTAGGGATCTTGAATGCATGGAGTCTACATAGTGGCGATCACATGTTCCACCTCATCCTCAATGAGTCCTGCGCTCTTGGTGAGGTCAGTGCCCGGTTTCTCAACACCACATGAGCATATCTTCGACGCACGCCCTCAACGGCAGTGACGGCAAAGGCTATTTTCTGCCAACATGGATGTTGGTGTTGAGTACTCACAAAATAGAACTTTTTAGGGATCACGAGAGACAAGGCAGCACAAGTAGCGGCAGGCAGGCCTCCTGTGGAAGAGCAAAGCTTTTCTGCAAAGAGCCAGATCGTGAATATTTTAGCCTTTGCAAAATATGTGATCCCCCTCCTAACTACTCAATTCTGTCCTTGTAGTGGGAAAGCAGCCACAGACAATAGGAAACAATGGGTGGGTTCTGTTCCAGTAAAACCTTATTTAAGGACACAAATGTGAATTTCATGTAATATTCATTGCTTACAAAGAGTTTCTCTTCTTTTGAGTTGTTTCCATCCATTTGAAGATGTACGAACCATCCCTAGCTCACGGGAAGTTCAAAAGGTGGCGTGGACAATCATTTGCGAAGCACCTCACCTCCCAAACAGGTGCAGTGTTCAAATGTCCAGGCTGCTGATATGAGCACCAGTCACTCTACTAGGAGGGTTCTAAAGGACATACATAAACAGAGATCTCAGCCAATAAATTCCTACTTGTACATTAACATGTGCTGAGGGTAGGTGATAGGCGATGACAGAAATGCATTTTCTATTACAACTGATAATCTGAACTAATGCACTTTTTTAAAAAAAATTTTACTTATTTATTTATTTAGAGATGGAGTTTCGCTCTGTCGCCCAGGCTGGAGTGCAATGGCGTGATCTCAGCTCACTGCAACCTCTGCTCCCAGGTTCAAGCAATTCTCCTGCCTCGGGCTCCCAAGTAACTGGGATTACAGGTGCACACCACCACACCCAACTAATTTTTGTATTTTTAGTAGAGACGGGGTTCCACCATATTGGCCAGGCTGGTCTCGAACTCCTGACCTTGTGATCCACCCGCCTCGGCCTCCCAAAGAGCTGGGATTACAGGTGCGAGCCACCACACCCAGCCAACTAATGCACTCTTAAAGATACTGAACATGTTTCAGAGCAAGGAAAATGTGTATATGATATGACACTATTTTGGTGACCAAAAAAAGCATTTATACTAAAAGAAAACTAATCTAAGAAACAAAATAACTGCCTTTAACAGATCAATGTAATTAATAGATGATAAGATACTACACTTTATATTTTTGATTTTTATAAAGCATTCATTTAGTTATATGAAATTGTACTGAAGAAATCAATTCAAATTGATATGATTATGGGCACTGGTACATAACTAAGAACTGACTAAAAGATCAGCAGAAAACCTGTCATGCTTTAAGTTAAAGGCAAGCACTGTGAACTCTTTGATACCTGGCATGCTGTCAACTAGAAAGCTTTAGCGAGTGGTCCTTTGATCTACCCATTCAATATTATTTGCTCCAAGTTCCTGGAGGGCAAAGTCTATGTCTATGCATCTATTTGTTTTAAAATTTCTTGTGCCTTGTTCTATGCCTGACATGTAGTAAACTCAATAAATAGAGCTAAAAATGAATGAATGAATGAATGAATGAATGAATAAATGAATGAATATGATGGTGAGGCTGAGACACTACAAAAATTTGAATTGGCTTTTGGTTTTGTTTTTTTTAGAGACAGGGTCTTGCTGAGGCTGGAGTGCAGTGGCACCATCATAGCTTACTGTAGCCTCAGCCTCCTGGGCTCAAAGGATCCTGCTTCAGCTTCCCAAGTAGCTGGGATTACAGGTGTGTGCCACCACATCCAACTAATTTTCAAATTTTTTTGTAGAGACAGGGTATCCCTATGTCGCACAGGGTGGTCTTGAATTCCTGGGCTCAAGCAATCCTCCCACTTTGCCCTCCTGAAGTGCTGGAGTTACAGATGTGAGCACAGTAATACTAGTGTACCTGGCCTGGTTTTGTTTTTAAGCCAAAAAGCCTAAATTACATTCATTATGTATTATATTCTAAAATTGTTAGAATATAGATGTTGTGCCAAATTGTAATTATCAATTAAATTAGTATTTTTAAAAAGTGAACTCGAACTTAGTAATAAATACCTTAATTCAGTATTCAGGAGAAAAAATGAAGAGCATTTCATTAAAAAAGAGAAACCAGGCCGGGCCCGGTGGCTCACACCTATAATCCCAGCACTTTGGGAGACCGAGGCAGGTGGATCATGAGGTCAAGAGATTGAGACCATCCTGGCCAACGTGGTTAAACCCCATCTCTACTAAAAAAA